TCTTGTTTTGACATAATTTTGGGTATGCACTGGGTAAAAAAGTGTGTCATGGTAGAGTAATACTGTGGTACTCCAAAAACTGAGTTATAATGGTGTCACTGATAGGCGGTATGCTCAGCAACAGTACAAAATGCTGACAGTACCACCTCTGGTTCCTGTGGCAACTACTCAACTTTGCTGTTGTACTGCAAAAGTAGTCGTAGATAATAAGTAAACAAAACCATGGCAGTATTTCAACAAAACTTTATTTATATACACTAAAATATGAATTTCATATGATTCTCATGTGTCATGAAATAGTGTTATTCTTTGATATTTTGCAACCATTTAAAAATGTAAAAATTGTTTTTAGCTCATGGGTTGTACAAAGAAAGGAGTTGGGTCAGATTTGGCCCACAGAATTTAGTTTGCTGACCCCTATTCTAGTGTGGCATATATGTAGGGTTAGGATCAAATGTATTGTGGATTACAAGATAGTGTTCTTAAGATTTTCTCATCCACTCTTCTGCAACCAAGATTTGGCTATTTGAAGACACATCTATGCTTAGATTCTGACAAAACTATGGCAATCTCATTTGTTGCTTCAAGAAGAACAGAAAAAATGACTTGATTTTGTATAAATTGTTCTTTTCTTCAATTAGCAATTAAGGAAGCTTCCTTTGTACTTTGTATTTCAGAAAACATTTGAAAAAGTGAAAACTGTTAAGTGGCTCTGACCATTTATTTTTGTAACTTTCTGAAATTTAGTTGGGTGTAAACTTAATTATCCTGGGACATTTCAGAGTAATAGAGTTAATTCCTGGCAATTGATCTAACTCTAATATGACTTATTTATGAATATTTAGCAACAGCGGGCATTACAGATGGAGTTGGAAATGCAAGAAAAAGAGAGACAGAGAGCAGAACTGCAGAGGGCTCAAGAACAATTAGAGAAGGTAATTTGAAGTTTTATAAATGTCTGTTTACTTAAAACCTCTTAGAATCCTCAAACTGTTTCTTTCTTTTTTTATTAAGGTATCATTGATATACACTCTTATGAAGGTTTCACATGAAAAACATTGTGGTTGCTACATTCACCTGTATTATCAAGTCCTCCCCCACACCCCATTGCAGTCACTGTCCATCAGCATAGTAAGATTCCAGAGTCACTGCTTGTCTTCTCTATGCTACACTGTCCTCCCTGTGACCTCCCCAACCATGTCCCAATAATAATATGACTCCCTCCCCACCAACCATCGCCAACCCCTCCCCTTTGGTAACCACTAGTTCTTTTTCAGAGTCTAGTTTCTTATAGTGGCTGCATAATATTCCATTGTGTATATGTACCACCTCTTCTTTATCCATTTATCTATTTATGGACACTTAGGGTTGCTTCCATGTCTTGGCTATTGTAAATAGTGCTGTGGTAAATATAGAGGTGCATATGTCTTTTTGTATTTGGGATCTTGGCATGTTTTCTTTGGGTAAATTCCTAAGAGTGGAATTCCTGGGTCATTTTCCTGAATAGATCACATGTTAGGCCACAAAAAGAGCCTCATTAAATTCAGAAGGCTTGAAATTGTACCAACCAGCTTCTCAGACCACAAAGGTATGAAACTAGAAATAAATTATGCAAAGAAAAGAAAAAAGCCCACAAGCACATGGAGGCTTAACAACATGCTCCTAAATAATCAATGGATCAATGACCAAATAAAAACAGATCAAGCAATATATGGAGACAAATGAAAACAGTAACTCAACACCACAAAATCTGTGGGACACAGCCAAGGCTGTGCTAAGAGGGAAGTATATCGCAATACAGGCTTACCGCAGGAAAGAACAATCCCATATGAACAGTCTAAACTCACAATTAATGGATCTAGACAAAGAAGAACAAATTAGGCCCAAAGTCAGTAGAAGGAGGCACATAATAAAGATTAGAGAAGAAATAAATCAAATCAAGAAGAATAAAACAATACAAAGAATCAATGAAAGAAGGAGCTGGTTCTTTGAGAAAATAAACAAAATAGATAAACCCCTAGTGGTTGAGAATATTTTGATGAGTGCTGAGTCTAGTAATATTGATATTTATTGTATTCTTTTAATACAGTGTCACTGCTTAGCAAACACCATACATTGCCATTTAATTTGGTAATAAAATAATCCACTTTCCACTGTGTCTTAAAAGGCAATGTTAAAATCTGCTTCTTTTCTTGTTTTGACATAATTTTGGGTATGCACTGGGTAAAAAAGTGTGTCATGGTAGAGTAATACTGTGGTACTCCAAAAACTGAGTTATAATGGTGTCACTGATAGGCGGTATGCTCAGCAACAGTACAAAATGCTGACAGTACCACCTCTGGTTCCTGTGGCAACTACTCAACTTTGCTGTTGTACTGCAAAAGTAGTCGTAGATAATAAGTAAACAAAACCATGGCAGTATTTCAACAAAACTTTATTTATATACACTAAAATATGAATTTCATATGATTCTCATGTGTCATGAAATAGTGTTATTCTTTGATATTTTGCAACCATTTAAAAATGTAAAAATTGTTTTTAGCTCATGGGTTGTACAAAGAAAGGAGTTGGGTCAGATTTGGCCCACAGAATTTAGTTTGCTGACCCCTATTCTAGTGTGGCATATATGTAGGGTTAGGACCAAATGTATTGTGGATTACAAGATAGTGTTCTTAAGATTTTCTCATCCACTCTTCTGCAACCAAGATTTGGCTATTTGAAGACACATCTATGCTTAGATTCTGACAAAACTATGGCAATCTCATTTGTTGCTTCAAGAAGAACAGAAAAAATGACTTGATTTTGTATAAATTGTTCTTTTCTTCAATTAGCAATTAAGGAAGCTTCCTTTGTACTTTGTATTTCAGAAAACATTTGAAAAAGTGAAAACTGTTAGGTGGCTCTGACCATTTATTTTTGTAACTTTCTGAAATTTAGTTGGGTGTAAACTTAATTATCCTGGGACATTTCAGAGTAATAGAGTTAATTCCTGGCAATTGATCTAACTCTAATATGACTTATTTATGAATATTTAGCAACAGCGGGCATTACAGATGGAGTTGGAAATGCAAGAAAAAGAGAGACAGAGAGCAGAACTGCAGAGGGCTCAAGAACAATTAGAGAAGGTAATTTGAAGTTTTATAAATGTCTGTTTACTTAAAACCTCTTAGAATCCTCAAACTGTTTCTTTCTTTTT